CACACACAATGTGAATGACTCATTCTTCTCCATCCACCAGTTGGCTTAATAGTAATGCAATCTAGCTATGAGTCACTGACTTTTCTGGTAATGCAATACAGGTCATCACTTTCTAGAGTCTACACGAAATATGACAACTCCAAGAACGACTCCTTTCATAATCAAATTTTGTGAAGTTATTGGTCATATTGGCCAACAGTAAAGCACAGAATAAATAGAAAAGAGTCTGGAATGCACATAAGAGCAAATACATGAAGACTAATGTGAAGAAATGACTCAAATCCATATACAGACACAATACTGGCACATTTTAAATAATTCACAGTTTAAACACAAACCTGGACCAAATTTCCAAAACGTTCTGGTGTGACTGTAACAGTAGCTAAAATGTCATAAATCTGTAAATAAACTTCAGCATATGAGCATTTCCTGACATCAGTAAACCTTAAGTTAACTGCCTTTTATAGTGGTTTGGATAACTGTCTTTATTGGTTATGATTTAGTGTATTGGGTAAAGTATCTGTGTGTTATAAATAAAATGTTTTCTTTTCATGTTTGTTCATGCTAATAACAGAAATGGCCATGGTAAAGGGGAAAGTTATGAGGGCAAGGACGTTTATATCATTATTAGTGTATGGTTTGTGTGACGGTTGTCTGACCCTAATCTTCATGCTGTTTTTATAGAAGGATAACACAGTAACCAAAGCCAAGGTCATCGCTCTCTTGCAGCTGGGCTGAAGCTCCTCAGCAAGCGTCATGATCAAGAGTGCCAGACTGCACGTATACATACATACTCAACTTAAAGTATACATAATCTTATTAATATTTTAGCCATTTACATAAAACTGCCTGATATGAAAATATCTTTTTTTCCAGATTAAAAATGTAATAAATACAAAAATGATTATTTTTAAATAAAAGTAATTTAAACGCCAATGGTGTTACAGCAATATATAAACACCAGTAGGACTGTTTTGTTTTCTCCCCACAGCACCTATTATCAATATTTCATCAATAGTTATAGAAGTGTTATGGACTACAGTAAATATTACAATATCCATAAGAGGGCAGTATAGACACCAAGGAAAGATAAATGCAAATGGCACGATGCTTGCTTTTAGCTGAATTCCACTGGGAAATGTGCTATACTCACTGCAAACAACAGAGCACATATGTAAATGACTATACACACATACATATTATGCTAATTAACGACAGTACACCTAAAGAAATGAACAATGTACATCTACTTTTAAATAGTCAAATTTAGATGTAAGCTTAGCATGCAGGATGATGATGCCCGTGAATGAAATGTTTTATTGGTTTGTTTGAATTTCTGTTACTTAGCTGAACATGGACTAGTCTAGATGTTGCAATGTGCTTCAATTATACTTAATTATATAACCGATCAAACGGAATGCCTTGTTGCTTGATTTCTGTGTTCTGTTTTTTTGTGATTGACTGTACATTCCAAAAAATATATTTTTCAATTATTCTTTAAAAAGGTTGTTTAAAATAAACACGAATTTTTAATAAATAAAAATGTATATAAAGATAAATAAATGAAGCGCTTAATGGGAACAGGGGTGTGCTTAAAGGGTACAAACATGTACCCATTAAGCACAGCCGGATTTTTGCATTTAATTATGTATATACAGGTGCATCTCAATAAATTAGAATGTCGTTGAATTTTTATTTTTTTATTTTAGTAATTCAACTCAAATTGTGAAACTCGTGTATTAAATAAATTCAATGCACACAGACTGAAGTATAGTTTAAGTCTTTGGTTCTTTTAATTGTGATGATTTTGGCTCACATTTAACAAAAACCCACCAATTCACTATCTCAACAAATTAGAATACTTCATAAGTGAATTGTTGGCCTTCTGGAATCTTGTGCACTAAAAATGTCTCAATGTAGATTTTGGTGAGCTTAATATAGGTACGTTTACCCTAAGTGTAAACAACACATGACAGAACTGGCAGAAGGGACGTTGGTCAACACGTCAAAATCTTTAACAAAAAAGTTCATCTACATTTTCAATACATTTTCATTTGAGTCGATATATTCAACAGATTTTTACCTTTATCTTTTGACATAAAGGGTATGTGATATTCAGGAATAGTATTGACAATATATTCAATCATGTCTGGCAACTTGACAAATATGTTTTCAATATCACTAGGACATATAACAAAAAATAATGTAAGAATACATTATAATTTTGAAGATCACAGATTTCTTTTCAAACTGATTATTATAATATGTACTTATAAATACTGTAAATGTAGCCTACTATTGTTATAAATGAATTTTTATGCATTTATTTATTCCATTTCTTGCAAAAATAAATAATATGATCAATTGATTCAGGGAATCTGAATGATTTATAGAAATTATGAGGTTGCAGTTACTAGTAAACAAGTTAATTTGCCTATAACAGTGCCACCTTGCGGCCGATTCTCACAAAGTTTTTATTGTATTTTTATTTATTTTTTTTATATATAGACAGTCTCTTATTTGACACTACTAGACTATGTACGATCATTTCGGTTTTCATAAAGGTCGGCCATTGAGATTTGATTTTCTAAGCTACTTCTGCCATGATTGTTGGTTTATCTGAATGATATTTAGAGAATTTGACCCAAAGAAGAATCATACCAGTTTTCAACTTGTCTACCTGGTTGAATTATCTGCAAAAGGAAAAATCTCTTTTTTTTTTTTTTTCAATGAGGTTTTGCTGCAAACTTGCAGAGCTGGGTAGATTACTTACAAATTGTAATCCGTTACTGATTCCAAATTACATGACAAAAATTGTAGTCAGTAACGTAATCCATTACATTACATATTTTAGGTAATGTAATCAGACTACTTTTTGATTACTTTTGTCCTAACTCGTTTATCACATTGATTTAAATAGGATAATCTTATACCATAATGATGTAAAATACAAAGAGTAAGAAAATATATTCCATTCATTGTAATTAACAACATGAAGTGCATTAAACATTACATTACATCCTGTTGTAAATAATAGTGAAAAATCACTTTTTAAAACTTTTGTTCCATTATTACCTCTTAGCAGATTTTAACTCGCATGTTCTGAAGTCTTGCCTTGCACATGCAAAGAGCAATTTGTCATATGCTGGGAAAAACAAATATATGTAATGTATGTTCAGAGCTGAGTAGGTTACTTACAAATTGTAATCCGTTACGGATTCCAAATTACATTACAAAAATTGTAGTCAGTGACGTAATCCATTACATTACACATTTTAAGTAATGTAATCAGACTACTTTTGATTACTTTTAGATTGCTTTTGTCCTAACTCGTTTAGCACATTGATTTAAACAGAATAATCTTCTACCATAATGATGTAAAAATACAAAGAGTAAGAAAATATATTCCATTCATTGTAATTAACAACATGAAGTGTATTAAACATTATATTACATCAAGGTTTCCCAGACTGGAGTTTGTAAAGGCACTGCAGGGGGGTTGTGAGTGTAATGAAAAGCTAACAATTAATTAAAGCATAAATCATGTAAAATTAAAATAAATCATTTTAAAATAACAATCAAATTAAAACACTTACTAAAAAAAACTAAATATTTTGTTTACCTGCATGCCATATGACCATTAACCAATGTCGGAGAACTGTGAACACGCAAATGTGATACTTAATTATTAAAATATTTATTTTAAAATCTCAGGGGTACTTAAAGGATCACTGATTATGATTTCACTTTTTTAAGTTGAGTATGTAATGTTGCTGTTTGAGCATAAAAAAAACATCTGCAAAGTTTCGATGCTCAAAGTTCAATGCAAAGGGAGATATTGGCTGCGTCCGAAACCGTCTACTCAATGAGTAGGTACTTAATTTCATTAAGTACTCACTTAACGAGCGCTAAAAGAGTAGGTACTCTGCAGCCAAATCTCGTTATGA